AAGGAACTATTCATATTACTGAGTGTTCATTGTTTGTTATCCATTATACATTGGCTTTGATCTTTTCCAAGAAGGTATCATGGATTTTGTTCATTTTGTGATGAAAACTCTTAATTTTAGTGAATATTTTTGTCATTTTGAGTAAAAAATGATAATTTATACATGTATGTAGGTACGTTTGGTGTACTTCTTTCAGATTCTGTGATTATATTGTAGATCCGATTGCTTTCAGACTATTATGCATTATCAACAGGGGAGCTATCCTGGGGGCTTTTTTCCCCCAGAAATATTAAATTAAATGTTAACTAGGCAATATTACACAGATGGAATGTCAAAATATAATTGTTTTTGTTGTTCAATACTCCATACTTGTGGATGTGGGAAATTGGTTTTTGAGTATAGCCACTCTATACTGTTTTTATATTATTGGGGGACTTATAATTCGATCTCCGTCCGTCCGGAGTCATATTCCTGAACCTTATGGACCAAATCCATTCATTGTTTGCATGTGCCTAGTACTTTATCTGGAACATGTGCACATGCAGTGGTTAACTGATTTAATTCAAGATGGCTGACCGGCAGTCATTTTGTTTTTTGAAAATGTGGTATCTTATGCATGCTTTGTGAGTTTTTGTTCAAATTTGGTACATAAATTGTACATATTAGATTACGATATATGTGCATGACAATTTGTTTTACAATCGAATCAAAGATGGCCAACTGGTGGTCATCTTGCTTTTTGACCATACTACTATAATATCTCCAAGGCTTACGGATCTTTTTCATTCATATTTGGCATATACATCATAAATATTCGAATACATGTCCATGTCAGTTTGTTTCATAATCAGATAAAAGATGGCCAACTAGCGATCATCTTACTTTTTGTGAAATGTGGTACTAGTATCTTGGACTGGATTTGTCAGTTTTCATTCAAATTTGATACAAACTTTATACATGTTGAGATACATGTCGGCGATGATTGGTTTCATGTTCGCATCCAAAATGACCAACTGGCAGCCATCTTGTTTTTTCAAAATGTATCATTGACATGGGTTTTTCACTTCAAATTATATATGTTAGGATACATGTCTGATGACAATTACATGTAGTTTCACATTTGGATCAAAGATGGTTGACTGCTTACAATCTTGCTTTTTGACTTTACTACTATATTTCTGTACATGAGCATGAACAAAGGAAATTCAGTTTTGATACAAAAAATGCATAAACAACATATTCTATTTAATTTCTGACCATATATTTTGATTTTGAAAGAGTAATTTAATATATTTTTTAAGTTTCTGTTGATACTAGACCAGCAAATTATTCACTCTCAATTACTAACTATGCTTTTGGTCCATGTTACTTTGTCTTTGGCGCTGATTTTGTCTACAGTATTGAGTATTGAACAATCAATATTAAAAAATGATGTTTTCATCCATATTGCATCTTTAAAATGTATTTTTTTCAGTGAACTACAACTGTCTTTATGACCTTCATGTTATACGAATGGTATATTTATATCTTTATATATTTCAAAATACAAAAAAACTCAGACCTATATTTTTCACACACTTTGTTTTGTACTGAGTCATACATTTACATTTACATGTCTGACGATAGGTTAAATGAGTCAGGTATCATTTTAATAGTTGTTTTTGAATGAAACAGTAAACAACATCTTCACAGTACTTTAATGTCTCTGGACAACTGAAGCTGGATCCATGACACTGTTGTTATTACCGGTAATATTAAAATATTTGACCCAGCTGCATCCGAACATATATACTGACAGTGTGGTCTCTAACAGGACTGATTTGTAGAAATCAAAATGAGTCAAAATGAAATCCCCAAAACCAAGTTGACTTAGTTTGTTGACTGCTGGGAAGCTCAATCTTAGAAAAAAATAAAATTGTATGTGACATATTACAAATTTCATGACTACAATAAGAGATTTTTCAAGATCGCCAAAGCAATGTATGATTTTCCGTTGCGTCAACGATGCGCCAGTGAATTAGCACAATTAGTACTGTAAAGTACTATATTCGCTGGAATTAATTTTCGCTGAAAAGGCTTTTTGAGTGTTTTGTATGGAATTTATTTTCACTGATTTTTGACGAGTTGATTGTGAAATATAGGAAAAACGGTATATTCGCAGGATTTTATTTATCACTGAATCAGCCCTTCGCGAAAATAAATTATTTTACAGTAGCATCACATGCAGGAAGTCTGTGTGCTTCAGTGATTTGTTATATTGGCTTAGAAGATACACTGCTCACTGTATACAGTAATATAGTGTCCAAGCCGATTGGTTTTCAGTTAAATCATATTTGAAAATCTCAGATTTGTTGCAATGCTCCCCTAAGTAGATCACCATTGGTGGACCATTAACAGAATTGAATCCCACTGTGCCTAAAGTTAATTATAAACTATTGCTTGCAACACTTTTTAGCTCTGCTGTTGACGTAGATTTTATAGCTATTTGTCTGGTATTTATTTAGGAATTGAAATTTCATGCCTATCCAATTATCTTAGGGTTGGGGGTTAACAATGTCATATGGCACAAACACCAATGTTTTGGTTGATTAAATGTTCACAATATTATTCAGGTCAACTACAATGACATTATTCGTATTTCTAAAGCATATTAATAATAAAAGTTTGTATCCAGTTTTCCCAGTATGTGAGCAAATCATGCCATTGAACCATTCATCTGTTATACCTGTTGTGAATTGAATCTGTGAATATCTGTAATTAAACTTGTTTCATCCAGTAAAAGTAAACAAACTGCGTATATTCTCTGACACAAACATTGTCAAATAATTAAAAACGTTCACAAACTGTGAATGCCTGTCTTTTTAATTTGTGTTCAATCAGAATACTCACTAGATGTTTTTTTAGTTTGAACTGCTCAGTAGATGTCAACTTATTGGTGGCATGTACCCATCCATAGTTAACAGTTGGAGGAACAAAGTGAGCTCTCCTAATAAAACAATGTCTTTCTTCAGGTATATTAATAAGATTGTTTCTACCATTGATAGTGAGTATGCGTGGATGAATATGCATTATATATCCATTTATATGTGCTAGAGGGACACACAGCTGCAGTTAATGAATACTTTTATTAAATAAAAACAGTCATTTCAAAGCCAAAATGACCTTGTTTGTACTAAATTATGCATGTTTCATTCATTAACTTTGACACATTAATTGTAGTAATTATGGTGTCATGTGACATATAGAACACATGTATAATATGTCGTTTGTTTACACTACCCTTCAATCTGTGGTGGTGAAATTCACTCTGCAGTATTTCTTTATGCTCGAATGTCGGAATAATTATCTACTTGTATACTATTAATCATTTGCAATCGTCAAGTTTTCTTGTAATCAACCTTTTTCGGTAGGTGTTATTTTATAGTTATATTTTGTATAAGCATATCTGTATAATTACGATAGGTTTGGTGGTGACATACACATAAATCCTTGCTGTTTGTCTGGCTGGACAAGAGAAAGGTGTCAGTTTACAACATGATTATCACTTCCTAGAAACCACTGGACCATATTATTGTTAATATCATACTTTTCTTTCTTGGAACTGATTTATTTGAAACTGTACCATTTAAAATGTATCATCTTTTATTTTAATAATTTAAAAAAACAAATATCTGTGTGATAAATTGTAACTTGCTAGTTGGTTAGACCATTTTTTGTCTACTCCTGATATTGTACATACATGCCTGCATATGAATGGAATAAATAATTACTGGTTGCCTCTATTTAATAGCAATTTATTTTGTTTTGAGAAAAGACATGTGAATATTTTTTTTAGTCCCCGTTCGGACGAAGTCCGAAAACGGGGACTTATAATTCAGTCTCCGTCCGTCCGTGTGTCCGTGCGTCCGTCCGGAGTCATATCTCAGAATCCCTTGGACCGATTCCGTTCATTCTTTGCATGTGCCTAGTACTTTATGTGGGACATATGCACATGCAGTGGTTTAGTGAATCGATTCAAAATGGCCGACTGGCAGCCATCTTGTTTTTTGAAAATGTTGTATTTTGGACATGCTTTGTCAGTTTTCATTCAAACTTGGTACATAGATTATACATGTTAGGATACATGTTCATGATGATTTATTTCACAATTGGATCAAAGATGGCCGACTGGCAGCCATCTTGTTTTTTGAAAATGTTGTATTTTGGACATGCTTTGTCAGTTTTCATTCAAATTTAGTACATAGATCATACATGTTTATAGGATACATGTCCCCGACCGTCTGTGAGTTCCTGAGTCTGTCTGTCCGTGTGTCCGTCTGTCCGTGCATCAGTCTATCCAACGTCATATTTCAGAATCCTGTGGACCGATTCCGTTCATTCTTTGCATGTGCCTAGTACCTTATGTGGGACATATGCACATGCAGTGGTTTAGCGATTCGATTCAAAATGGCCGACTGGCAGCCATCTTGTTTTTTGAAAATGTTGTATTTTGGACATGCTTTGTCAGTTGTCATTCAAACTTGGTACATAGATTATACATGTTAGAATACATGTCCATGACGATTTATTTCGCAATTGGATCAAAGATGGTCGACTGGCAGGCATCTTGTTTTTGTTTTTTTATGCAGTACTTTATACATCTTACAATGCATGTCCATGACAATTTGTTTCAAAGAATGGCCGATTGACAGCCATCTGACTTTTTGGCCTTACTACTATATTTCCACAATTTATGTACCATTTCCATTCGTATTTGGCACATACATCAATCATACATATCAGTGTGTTTCATAATCAGATCAAAGATGGCTGAATAACGGCTGTTTATATTTTGGCCATATTACTATGACACGAAACACGTGTTTTGATGTAAATAAACAATCTGTTGTATACGCCACTTGGAACTCAAGTTT